AATCAACTCTTTTCCCTTGATATAAAAAGGGAACGGTTGCAGTTGCCAAAGTGTTTTTCATGTGGCCCATCAGCTCCAGAACACAAATCCACCTCTCCCAACCAGTGGAAACACTGAAAAATTATTTCTTCCTAAAACAGAAAAAAGAAAAGAAAAAAAAAAGAGAGCAGGAACACATTGTAGATGGGAAAAGATTGCTTCCTGCCATACGGATACAGTACAGCAAATCAGAACAAATTAGATTCATATGGGTGGCCAGCAATGGATTCAACAGTTTAGTATAATTATAGCTTATTTTCTTCTGCATATTGGACAAGGTAGCCTAAGCTTAGCCAAGGAGCTGCTTTGAAGATGTGCTCTGACCTTAGCCCAGAAGCTCCCAATTTTGTTTTTTAAAGAAATTGTAAAAAAGACAAATATAAGCAAATTGGCCTGGCCAATAAAATCCAGCATAATGAAATATCAGTTACCTGGAAAGTAATTTGTTTATGGAAAAGTAGCACCTGGACTGACAATTAAACTTTAGGGCATGAGAGGTATGATCCTACTACTTTATTCATGTTATTTTGCATTTTTCAAGCCCAGTCTGTGTTTGGGATGAGTGGGTACAGTATGCTGAAAAGGGGTCTTTTACCAGGAGATGTTGAGGCTTTATCTACACAACCCAACCCAATCCATTGCATAAGATCATGCCATTTTGCCTGAAAGGCAGGAAACTGTTGAGCAGCTTTCAATTAAAAACCACTTTACAATTAAGAAATAAACCTGCCAAAATCCCCTAAAAGCACAGAGATAACTATGCATCAAACACTTCAGTGAGGTAGATCAAAAAGCCTCCTCAAGTTCTGTTTGCAGGAGCAGAGCCGACAATACTATGATTTAGGAGTGTACCCATTTTTATTTTGTTAGGATAGTTTTCCTTGTCTTAAAAGTTCTTGTTATGGAAAACAGGAAAACTCAATACAGGTATGGACAAATATCATGTGGACCAAAAAGTTTTAAATACTATTCCTTGCTTCCTCACTGAATCTGATTGTACTTGCTTCATTATTCAAGACACCAACATTTTCCTTGAGGAACCCTGAGAATCAGAGCATGTATTTACAAGATCACTCTTCATTTATTCCAAGACTTGCTTACTGGCATTATTTTTGCAAGTTAAACATAAATTCCAGTTGATACATGAAAAACATGCACAGGAATAGAGGGGCTTTTTTGACTGCTGCTGGTTTTGATTAATTGCTAACAGCCAGTATTTTCTTTAGGGGTTAAAAAAAAGAATGCCAAGATATCAAACATGGCTGCCTATAGTTAGTCCACTACTAGGCACCTAAATAATTGCCCCTGTTTTCAGTAGGGCTGTGAGCCTGTCAAGGCTACTCTAGGTTCAGTGTAGGTTTGCCAGTAAGAACCTTAATTCTATATGCTCACTTTTTAAAAATCTTGGTCACATTGTCCCACATGCCTTAAAAAACAAACAAACCTCCCATCCCACTGAAAGGGCATGAACTGATCTTATCTGGTCACTGCACAGAAAACTGAATGGCCCTTGCTTATTTGATGGGCAAAACTATCACCCACTGATTCATGAGGTAAGGGAAATTTCCGCAACCTCATCTGAGAATTTAAGCTTTCTCACATTACTAGGCCAATGACAAAGGTGAGTTTGTCAACCTCATCTCACATGAATTGACAAGAACCGTGCTCAAAAAAAGGCCTCCCTGTATTTTGAGAGCCAAGGGAAGTGAGAGAGCACAAGCTTTATATGTCAGTGCTGTATATGACTATGAAGTTCACAAAAAATAGCTAAGGTGGGCATATGCATTCAGTAGCTCACTGTAGTTAGAAACAGTGTGCAATGCACTTGGAAGTACGTTTGTTGGTTTTCACTAAGGAACTCATGTACGTGCTTTGTCCAACCATCATATTTAATGGTCACTGGCACTTAGCTTCAGTTTAAAAAATCTGGAAAAACACAACTTGGCATGAGCTGAAAATGTCAAAAAATGACTGATTTCCTTCCATTGAACTCATTGGTTGAAATACCTTTTAGGTGCAAAGCAAAAAAAAGGTATTTGATCCCTTTTCCAGAAATTACTAATAAAATACATGCCAACACCTGGCAAAAGAATTCCTTTCAACATACTGAATATTTTAGTTGTGGGTTTCCTTATGTCCATGGAAAATGAGTACCAAAGTAATCCCAACCTTGTTCCATAATCTCCAATGATAGAGCCTGTGGTTCAACAATTCCCGGTTCTAGGGGGTTTTTTGGTTCAGAAAGAAAACTCATGTGAAAGAGAAATCACTAAAATGTATCACAGCTAGTTCATCTGGGCAGTACTGGGTCAACTGCAGCACTGGGCCAACCATTCCATCCACAACATGTCTTGCTGTTATTGTTCACTTGCTTTTTCTTTTAAGTCTACCAAGCATCAGAACTTTTTCTTTTTTAAATCCAAAACCTAATAAAATCATGTAAGCATGATTTTCAGATTACACCAAGCTGTTATTGGCAGAAGATTCAAACAAGTATCAAGATAAAGATTAATGTACATCACTTGTAGACGCATAGTCTGTCTAAGAGCTGGAGTGACTTTTCTGATAGTATCTCCAAGAAAACTCTTATATCAGGGGAATCCTCAGCAGACTTGACATATTTTCCTCTATGCCAGAAGTGTTGAATAGAATTGTAGATAGATAATATTATCTTGGAGAAAGCATGGAGCTGGGCAACAAAGTTAGAAACAGCTGAATTACAGATGCACCCTGATATGTAAAACGCAAGAAGGTTATTTAGATTTTGGCTACATGCAAGAGCTACTTCGAATCTCAGAAATTCAAGTTAGAATGTGAGTGTTGATGTAATAATGCTGATTTTTATGATCACAATTATATTAATGGATTTAACACTATCATGACTACTGTTCACCTGCAAATTCATACATGATGTAATTTTTTGACCTACACAGTATTCAAATTCATTGGAATTTTAAGGCATCATCAGGGAAATACATCCGATGCATAAATTTAATTATGTTATTGTTCCTATTAATTACTAGAGAAGCAATAAATCACTGTTACCAGAAGAGTGGTTAGAAAGTATGAAAAATAAGTTAAAAACTATTTTAAAGGGAAAAGGAGCAAATGAGGAAGCTGCTCAGAACCATGGTATCCAGAAACCATATGGAATAATTTATGAAGGAAAGCTATTGAAGCAATGAACATAAATGATTTCAAGAGACACCTAAATTGTTTCCGAAGGAAGAGACAGAGGGAAGTTGTTAAAAAGAAAAGAAAAATAAAGTGGAAAAAAGATCAATCAAAAGAGAAATCTGTTGGACAGATGGTCTTATTCTGTCCTTAGAATATCTTCATTTCTTAAAATTGAAAATTAAAGTTAAAAAGTAATACCACATTTTCCCAGTAGCCTGAATTAAAAAATAAAATCTCAGTCCTAATTTTAATTTCCTTGAATTCATCATTCAGTGACATAGCAAATTTGTCTTTAGAATATATAAGAATGTATCTTGTTTTACAAGATCTTGTAAAATGGGCTGCCCCTTCAGGCACTACCTTTATGCCCAAATTTCTCTCACCTAACTTTAGATCCCTTAGTGAAGTGTAGGCTCCTTGACCAACCACTGCAGACAGCCTGAACCACCACTGAGCTCCAGCCAAACCCAAACCACCTTCAGAGGGTGCCTGTTACTGTCAGTGAGGTGTAAGAAGCCACATCAGGAGACAGAGAATGAACTCATCCAGAATGAGTAGAGTTCAAGGCCATGGCCCATTTTGTGCTCCCAAAAATACATGAGGATAGGTAAGAGAAAATGATGAAATGAAACTCTTCTGCTTACATCCTGCAAGACTTTGTGGCTCCAAGCACAAATGGGTGCATTGGTACCGCCACAGATGCACTGAGCAATCAATCAGGCAACAAAAAGTTTCATCATCTTTTTCTTCCCGCCTGTGCTGTCACCTGCCACACATGGTAGTTTCCCCAAGAAATGGCTTATTTACAAGTCATTTTAGAGGACTTTAAACCTCTGGTTATCTACATGAAATGGTAATAAATGAAGCCTGTTTTGCCCCAGGTGTCTTTCTACATAAGTTGTAGCCACATGGTATGCAGCAATGATCATTGCGTGCATGTGTGAGCATGTGCATATGTCTGTCCAGATGCTTTCTGCTTTAAGAAGAATTCACAACGGGAAAGGAAAATAATAAGCATAACCAGTTTGGGTTTTTTTTAATGTAATGTTCTTCAATGGGTGTTAAACAGCAATAAATCACTTGTCCCTTCTACAAAAGAGACTGTTGGAAAGAGCTCAATCATTTCCTGTATCCATCAGATCTTTGATTTAGGTTAGTTAAAGGTGGGTAGAGACTGTTCTCCCTCTCCTTCTGCTGATTTTCCTTCTTGTTTTAAGGCAATAAGAGGTATCAATAGCATCTTAAAGTTTTATGGACAGATTATTGGTTACAGGCCTCCTGAACCACCTAAGGATGGCTGCTTCTCCATCCTAGCTGTAGAGCTGCCATACAGACTAGAACAATCTCCTACAATAGTTGAGAGACCCCTTTGTCCACTCTCACAGACCCAGCAAATGCAAGAGCTTGAATGCCATATCCTTGTCTGAAAAACACATTCTCTTCCATGTACAGAAGGGAGAGAATTGTCATATGTGTCCTTGTATAAGGCCAGAAGAGCACAAACGAGCTCCAGCAGAGACCCTTAAATTACAGTCTCAGACTTTTTGAGTTTTTTGGTTTGGAAGGTTTGAGAGCTCCCGCAGATGCTATAGTAAGAACTAAGAATAAGATTTTAGAACTATACCGCAAAATAGTTATCCCGAAACAAGAGTTTGCTGGCTGTTTGCTTGGGTGAATATTTAGTGACTGCATTTTTTCATTCAGCTTCCCTCATTGCTGGTGGGAATTTGATAAGCCACCACAAAAAGAAATGAATGAGTGATTGCATTTCAAAGGCATCTTACCAGCGGGCTACCATCAGTCCAGCGGAAATCACGCTCAAACATCTTGTCATTGAGGCCAATCCATTGGTAGTCATGCCCAATACCTAAGGAAACAGAAGGATATTTTCATTAACCTTCCCATAAATGGACAAGATTTCACCAAAGAAAATAAAAAGAATTTGCACAGAATGAATCAGACATCCTGTTCTTAAGATTCTTCTACTCATTATGCAAACAACTATTTATAGGCTGGTTTTCAGCTTTTCAATTTTAATTTGGGATGCCTATAAAAATGCAGATTCTCATCTAACAGTTTAAAACAATCCTGTCTCTTCCCTCTTGATGGCGTCTCCCAAAGAAAACAGATTAGTTTTCTACCTGAGCGTGTATGATGGGGGAGGAAAGAAAAGAAAAAGAGAATAAAATAATAAAAGCACGTATTTTAACCTACATTTTTCAAGTTTTGGTTAGGCTGTGACCAGTGTTGTCTAGATTGTGGAACACAACATACAGGAGATATTTCTTCATGCCTACCTAATACAATATACGGTGGCGTGGTCATTGATGTCAGGGGCACAAGAAATCTAAAGTCTCCAGAAAAAAGTGTTTCATCAATTTCCAATGCCAAAACAATAGTTCCTGTTCTCTTCCTCAAAAACAAAGTATTTTCTATGTAACAAATAACAACTTAATAGTGATAGGGAACTTGCATTGACTGCAAAAGCAAACATGAAGAACACAAAGTGTGCCTTTTAAACATTCTAAAAGTATATTTTAAGATGGAGATATAAAAGCTGAGTGATCAGGAGGATATTTCACTAGCTCTGAACCCTCAGTGCCCTCTCCTGTTTAGAGGAATCCTAACAGTACATACGGTTCACAAAGATCTGCTCCTCATGAGACAAGATGCTTGTCAAGTGTGCTCCCTGAAGACGGCATTCCCTTTCAGCCGTGTCCCATGTACGCCGATGAGCAAAGTATTTGTAGCACTGTCCTTGGAACTTGTGCCAGCCGTAATCACAAGTCTCTGTGTCTGTGACAAACAAATAAATCACATCTCCGTCAATGGGTGTGAAACACAGGCATGTTTCATGTAAGTGGATGGATTTTCTGCAGGGCAAATGTTCAAGAAGATATCGACCCGTTAAGCAGTACAAATGCAAACAATCAACACTCATCCTTGAGACTTCATTACATTTTCAGGTAGTTCTGTCTACCCAGTTTCAGTACAAGCCACAAGAATATTACTTATGAAAGGAGTTTAATTGCAACTGGCAACTTTGTGAACTTCCAGTGATCGAATTGTGCTGTATCTGGACAACCTCAGGAGGACATCTTGAGTCCATAACTTTGGATGAATGAAATGCCTGGATGTTGGACTGTTGTAAGTCTATATTTCATCTGAGTTTTCTGAGTCTGTATATGGGGATGGGAATGTTTACTTGCAGGGGCAAATAGGTCTTTGAGTGACTGTACTGAATTACCTTGGTTTGGAAGAAACTGATAATTGAAAATAATATGAAGGAAAGTGCTTGTGATTGTTTGGTCCACAGATGCAAAGCTGCAGTATTATCTTTCTGAACTTACCCCTCCAAATCCTCCTCCAAAGCCCATCTTCCTTGACAAAGTCTAACTTAATAAACTTTAGGCATCAGTTTCTAAGGAAGGCTGTAAAGCTGAAATACAAAGTAATGAAAGAAATGCACACTGTCTGTGCTTGTATGAGGGATGGTACTGATAAGAATCCATAATAGACAGAAGTTCACATCAGCCAGTATATCCTTTCATCTAAAGAGAAATAAACACGAGCCTTGGAACAGGAACAATCCGTGGATTTGACGTTAATTATTTTGTCAAGGTTAGGCAGCTGTAAACAGAATAGATGGCAAGAAACCACAAAGTTCCTGTTCCAAGTTTGCTTCTGCATCAACACTGTAGGAGTGAATCACAGACAAAAATCAGCATTAATAAGATGGGCATAACAAATATGATGCCTGAATGTGTCTGAGCTGTGCTTGATGATGATAAGAACTTGCCACTGAGAAGAGAGAGTTTTAGGGAGGAATGGCATAAACAATAGGGAAAACTCAGACTGTTTTGAGTTATGGCAGATGAAATGGCATCATAAAGGACACTTCAGCACAAGATTACAGCTTGTTCCGACTACAGCTGGTTCCAGCTATCTAAGTACATGATGGCTCACCCTGAAGGGCCTCAGTTGCAGGATGTTGAAGAACAAAAGCACAAAGTTTGGCCTTCCCCACCCCACCCACCAAACAGGAATTTGCCACTACCTACCAAGTTTTATCAATCCCCAAACAAAACTGTGCCTGAAAGCAACTGTCTGGCCTTTCCAGAGATATAGATATGTTCTGGGGATGAAATTGGATTTCTTATTTTTGGTAAGTCAATATAGTCGATAGTCGGTAACATGCTTTGGCCGAAGGGGCTCTTTTTGCGTTAGTACAGAAAAAGCTAAATATTACAGAATATTCCAATGACATATGACTGCAAATTCTATAATTATGATATTTCTTAGGTTTTGAGCAGCTACCACCTGAAAGACAATTGTGGAATAATTTTTTCACAACACAAGGCTGGATCTTAATTTATAGCAGGAAGAGGCCATACACATCCTGAAGCACCAAAGTGCCTATTTTTTTTTAAAGATTTTAAATCTCCCAAGATAAAAACTAGACTATAGATGTACATAAATGGATTTAAAAGTGCAAACATATCACTTCGGAGATTTACCAGAATTTCTCTGACAATTCCTGGCAACACTAATAATGCAGCAATTATTGTCTTAGGAGTCTGGTATCAAAATGATTTTCTAAAAGTCATCAGTACAGACATAAATGTATCAAATACAAAGGCATAATAGAGCTTACACTGATTATCTCTCTTCTATTTTCAACAAGTTAAGCTGTAGAAAACTGCTTGTGCCGTGAGTTATCCCAGCTATGAAAAAGGAATGTAATCTATACTACTGACTTGTTAGTTTTTTATCTTTTCCGTCTTTGTATTTTGTATGAGGTGCAGGCTGCAGATATAGCTTTAATCTCTGGCATCTAGGCCATTTTAAAGTTTAGTCTGCCTTTGGCTTTCTAGAACATTTGTTTAACCACACGATGCTGACTAACAGTGTTATGTCCTTTGTGAAGGCACTTAAGATTTTATTATTCATCTTGTTCAGGGACTCCCTTTTCCCACAGGAAAGAAGTCAGATAATAACAAGCAGCATTGCATGCTGAGAAAATTGTGGCCAGAGAGCATTTCCAGGCTATTTTAATCAAGTCTTCCCTGGCCTCTGCTAGGGAAGAAGTGCACAATTTGAGAGAAGATCTGCTGAAAGGCACATGGGGGAGGCAAAGATGCTTGAAAACACAAAACGTAGAAGACTGGGTTCAAAGAATGAGATATAATGCCCTGAGCATGAATCATAAATAACAAAATTTCTCTTCTTAGGATAGAGGATGCCAAATGGTGACATAGGTACTCTTAGTTGAAATGCATGCACTGCAGTGCACACACAACTCCTCCCTCCTATCCAAAATGGCATGTTGTTTTCCAAAAGGTAAAAGTTGAGTAACTTCTTCTGCACCTGTTTGTAGCCCAAATTTACAAAGACAGAAGAAGACACGGCTGATGGCTATAAAATACGTTGGATATTTAGAAGGGGAAGAGAGGATTTGCTTTTTGGTTTTGGGGGGCTTTTTGAGAGAGAGAGGAGAGGTTGATGAGAAGAGGGGAAAAAGGAATGGGGAAAGGGAGAGTCAGGAGGCTAGAGGCAAACCAGGCAAGCAAAAATGTGGGGACTGTTTCATCCCTGCAGTGCTCTGTCCTGAGTGTGTGTATCTTACTACATTAACAAAGCTGAAAGGGTGACACAAAGGTAAGGGCTCCATATGGGTGTAAATTTTTAATGTCTTTACTGAACCAGACGTTTAACTGCACGTGGGTGTAAATTTTCTGACCCAATCAGCTGTGAGTAGAGTAGGTGCAAGCACTTACTGAATACAATACTCCATGTTCATTGTATACTTATCCAGGGAGGTAATCACAGTTTTCTGTAACCTTATTCCAGAACATGATGGAAAGACTGAAACACTGCTTGCCATATTTATGGTGTTTTAAAAGTTGTCTGACTAGTCTTAAGATTTATGACAATTTACAGGCTTTTTCAGTGATGTGTGCACAGAGTTACTTACACAGCTTCTGTTCTTTGTAACTGCAATTGTATATGTATAACAACATCTCTAAACACTGCCTTAAAAAAAAAAGTTCTCTGTATGTTTAATACATAGATAGGTACTGCTTTTTCAACAGCTGCAATAAGCTGCTGACAATAGGTCCCTTGTCTTTAAAGAAATTCCATAAGAGGCTTAAAGAAAATAAAGACTGAAACACAGGTACTAGAACATAATAAGAGTCTTGCTCAGCTGTGAATTTTATCTTTGACTGTCTGCTTTCAGCTAATGAACAAATGCCTGAGGCCCATTAGCCCACACATATTGAGGAGAAACCGTTTCTCTGGTAAATATTCAAAATAATCCCTTCTCAGCTGAAAGACATCAGTTAGAGACCATCTGTTTTCAGAAAGTATCTTTGCCATGAGCCCTTCTCAAATACTTCCATCCCAAGCTACCAAGCCCTGGGAACAAAGTGAATCAAATGAGACCAGTTGTAATCACAGACATTTGAACAATGAACTTAGGTTATAAAAAAATATTGTTCCTGATATGATGATTAAAAAAAACAGTTGTTTTGTTTTCAGAACCTGGAAGGGAACAGCTGGTTGTATTATCCCAAGGAGGCACATCCCATAACAAACACATATGTGCCATTTTGGCAGACAGGTCCACGCATGCAGCTGCATTTGGTAAACAGGCCAGCCTAGGTGCGCCTGCAGAGATCCCACAGCAGAGAAAGCCAAATCTTGAGTTTAAAGCACAAACACCATTCCTTGAAAGCAGGTAGACACCAGTTAGAATAGCAAAAAGAGAAAAAGAAAAGGAAACTCTAGCCAGCCAAAGAAGGAAAAGGAAAATCTAAACAGGCGCTCATCCAGTTCTCATAAAGAACACTTACTCTTGAAATTATGGTTCAAATTGCAAGTCTCTACTATTTTGTTGTTTCGCATGTAACTATTCATGAAGGAAGGTACTCCTCACCACAAACGCAGATGGCCAGATAATGCAGCAACAGCAGCAGACTTTCATAGACCCCATTGGTCCCTGGGGACTATTCTCTACAGTTGATTCCACTAGCCTGGTGTGAAACAGGGTATCAAACAATCCTCCTCTCCTCTTTTCCCAAACATGGAGCTTGCAAAGCAACGTTTCAGGCAGCAAAATTGGGAGGATCTGAGCTCTGGGCTCATTTGTCTGGACACCAAGAGCTCTCATAAGGGCTTTTCACAAGGGGATAACAATGGAAAGACTGATGGTTCCCCCAGAATAAGACTTGCATCAAGATCTACTGTAGCCTGCAGTCACCCTTTGAAAAAGTGTTTTTGGGATATTTCTGCATTTTAAGAAGTGATGTTCAGATGTCACCAAGTAACATGCAGAATATGCAACTGTACTTTGAAAAGATACATGTGGTGGGCAAAAGAGGATATTATCTAACAGAGGTACTCCACTCACTTTTAATCTAGTCTGAACCAGAAGTGATGCTGGCTTACTGAGCTACCAACCTAGTTTAAAAATGAAACACCCTCAGCTGCTCTATTTCTAACATCAGACAACTTTAGCTCTCTTCAGGAAGAAGTTCCTGGGCTCAGATTGTCTGCTGAACTGTTTCCACCTGGCAAGAAAAACGGCTGTCAGGGAGCCAATTACAGCTCACTGAGTTTCAGGATTGATTTCCCTCACCCAAGGTTAGATCACCCTGAAGGCTCCTCTAACTTCTACCACCTGCCGGAGCTCCCTGATGTGCAGCTGCAGTGTCCTCTGGTGACATCCCCTCCTAATGCTGACACAGGCGTAATACATCAGCTGAAGATCCCTTAGTCTAGAAAAGTCTCATGGGGGCATTTGGGTGAAATTCTGAGCTCTACATTTTTTTCTACACCAGTTTCGTGGGACCAGGATGCGGTGGAGTTGTCTCCTACTTTGAGCTTCGTTTCCAGAGGCAATGCACGCTCTCTGCTTCCATTCCCTTCCATGGCATTTTGAATGTTCAGCACTGTGCCTAAGAAAGCCCTTCAGCTTGACTTTTTTCAAAGCTTTCTAAAATGATTAGTATATATTGGAGAAAAAAAAAAAAAAGAGTAATGAAATATAATCTCAGTGTGCTCAACTCCACCTTTCCTGTGGCACCGAGGTACACATTCTGTCTTTCTGGCTGGTCTTTAAATCTAGTGAGGTCAGGACTGGTGCCTTGAAATAAAGCCTGCTTGCCAGACAACCGTGTCTGAATCACCAACACAGTTTTATTTTGTCTAGTGGAGTGGAAATTTGGCACTAAATCCTTTTCCCAAGTCCCAAACCACTGCAGGACTTTAAGTGGAGGAAATTTAAATTCCAAAGCTGAGTGAGCAGGGCTCTGGTTCTGATTGACAAACTAGGAAATGTTCCCATTAACCACCTAAAATGCACTCTCAGGTTGGTCATAAAAAGCAGTTTAAAGCTACCATGGTACTCAGAGCCACTCGCTACTATGGATTTGCTGGAATGAAGGGGAGGAGGAAGGGAATTGTGAAAACACTGTCAATTTATAATTTTGGAGAACAGATTCAGAAAGTCCTTTCAAATTACAAGGTTAGCCAGATTACTGAAAGAGTTAAACAGTGAAAAGTGCTGGAGCTGGTCAGCTTTGAGAGTTTTCAGCTCTAACAAACAATTCTCTATGGGTTGAGCTGGAAGAGTTTGCAAACTGCCTTTCACTGAAGATGAGAAACAAACATGAAAACACACAATATTAATTAAACCAATCCAAAGGTCTAGTTCATTCATCTGTGACCAAAACCATTCAGCTGAAGAAAAAGAGAAAAGTATTTTCATAAGCTTTAGAAAGTACACTTTAAAACACTATTTCTTTTTGCCATGGAAATGCCTTCATTAATTTTACTGACAGAACAGATTTTGCTACCCTATTCCTCCTCCTACATGGATATATTGACTAAGCATCTTGCACTGTAAATATTTCTTGTAAAGACAGTGGGATTTCTTGCAGGCAATGTTCTAACAATTACAGAGACTTGGATCTTTAATCTGATTTCAGTTGTCCAGTTTAGAAAGCCTTTTACAACTTCCTTGTAATTGTGATCCTGCACCTACTTTTCCTAAAATAATCACAGAAAAAATCAATTTGAAAATTCTGGGATGAAGTTGTCAAGGTTATGGTTCCCAGTGGATGGATATATAATCTGGCATATTCAGTAGACTACTCCTACTTTCCAGTGATGCTTGTTGGAAGTGATGGTTTCTGATATGTCTTTCACACTGTATATAATTTTTTAAGACAGAAGCTTGGTCGGAGAGTAACTCTGCTCCCATTCATTATCCCATAAGCATCACTACAGTAATGAGAGAACCTTGTTATGTGTCTTCCCAGTAGTTTGCAAGCCAATATGAGCAGACTGTGCTTGCCCTGGAGCCACCTAAAAACTGTACAGCTGTTGTTATTTTGGCACAGAAACTGCCCAATATATCAGTTTATATTTGGTACAGCAGTAATGTGACTTCCAGTCAGGTTAGCATGTGGATAGAGTTTGCTCTCATCCATCTGCAAAAGACGGTGCAGATGTAACCTTAAACAAAAAGTCCTGAGTCACAAATCATGGGAGTCTAACATACTCAAAAATTATAATGTCTCCTCATCACTGATGACCTCCCACAGATTTTGACAGTTTCTTCCATCCTCTCATTTTTAGGAGGCTTTGCCTAGTTACTCCAGAAGGGTGTTGAAACGGAAACAGATTACCTCAATCACCATAGACTAAAGAATACACCTTACCTTGTTCACAGAGAGCACCTATATAGCTTGGCAGACACAAGCAAGTAAAGGTATTGAGGCCATCTATACATGTGGCTCCATTCCGGCATGGGTTAGACTGGCATTCATCGATATCTACAACATAAAGATAAAAGTGTTTTTATAATCCACCCACCTCTTAGAAGGGAAATGTTCTTCAGCCTTAGTCATACTTATTACTGGGACCAGTTCAATCCAGAAGAATGAAGTATTGCAAAAGATCCAAGTGACTGGTTTATTTGCATGATAACTGATTTCACTAGGCACAATCTTCCTTTCTCTTCCTCCACAAGCCAAGAAGCAGTTTCCACAGGAAATGTGACATTACTGAACCACAATTTTATATCCTGCACTCTGACTTCTGAGTTAACTTCTAAAATCCAGACCTTCAATTCCTCATTGTGTAGCTGAGAAAGAAGTGATACTGTGCAGTGTATAGTATTTTCCCATACTGGTGGAAAATTTTACTTGAGTGTGTGACCATGGCACAAAAAATTATCATCGAGTACTGGAGACCTCAAATATCTTCACAAATCTCAAATGAAAATGTCCTTATCATATACCATCAAACAGACTGCTAATTTCAGTCTGCAAAGCAGCATGCCCTGGCATCTTATTGGTTTGCATTTCTCATTTCTTCCTTGTCTAATCTTACCAAGATAAGGACAAAGGATCATAAAGAAAATCTCACTAAATGACCAGTCAGATAGTAACATTCATAGTCATGCACAGGTTTACTGCTGAGCCCATGGCTCTAGAATAAACAAATAATATGTCTCTCCCTGACTCCTCTGGCTGCTAAAATACCTTGTCCTCACCTTTTAAATTGGAGCACTAGTTCATTTAATATAATTACGTTGTGCATGTAATTGCACAGGTTATAAGCTAGTATGTCTCTTTATAGAGGTCATATGGTGTTTTCTAATGAGTGCTGTTCCTCTGAAACAATCACAGCTTAAATGTCAATGCAGATTTTGCAAACATCTTAGTCCAAAGTGAACTGCTGGTAGCGACTGACTATTAAAATTTAAGAGAGAAGTTAAACATATCTACAAACCAACAAACAGTTGTGCGATCCTAGGAATAATTGCTGCATCATGTGAAAGGTATTTTTAAAAATATTTTTATTTAAAAAAACTAATTCTGTTCAAATTTTATGCTAGGTCTTGTTTGTTCCAATCATTTGGAAAGCTCTCAAGTCAATATTTTATGCCTTATATACAGAATATCCCTGAATCTCAAATCAATGTTTTATGCCTTGTATCCAGAATATCCCTGAATCCAGGGCTAAAAATGCTGACGTTTACTTTTTTAAGCACCACAGATTAGATTTCCATACGGCCATGGACTGTCCCACTCCAATTCATTAATAAACCACTAAGAGTTCTAGGGGACAAGAAGTGGCCAGATTATTCTTTTATAATCTGAAAAAAAAGAGAAAATTATTATCTCTGACCTCTGGTTTGCCACCAGGGGATGCCATATTCCTTGACAAAGAAGAAGAAGCTTTAGGATGCAACATCTAAAACTTGATATCTACCAGCAACAACCCACTAGGGAACTAGCAAACTCATCAACATGAGCTAGGAAAGCAGAGAAAAACACTGGCTAATTATTTTTTTTAATCACATACTGTCTTGCAGAACACAAATAAAACTATAGTAATCCTGACAATTATGCTGCACTGATATCAACCTTTGGGTGAGGTTGGTTGTTTTCTCCCAAGCTACCTATGATGAGTTGAACTCATTTTAGCAACGTTGCATGAGGTTTTTTTCTTTCAAATTTGGCAGGCAACCATGTAACAGGTAAATCCATGGTATTTATCAGGGAATGAAACTTACAACTTTTCAAAAGCCTAAACCAGCTTTACAACAAATAGCCAAACTACCGCTTTTATCATACTTTGGCTTGCTGGTTGGAAGGAAAACCTGGTTATTCTGAACTGTACTGGTGAGTCTCTTGAAACCCACAGTCATAGCAGGTGAACACAGATGTCACAGGCAGCTTGAAGGAGTCCTCAGCTAGAAGAGTTACCAAAATACTAATTTATACCAAAGACATATATGATTATCATAATATTTACAATTTCCTTGAAAAAATACCAAGCTGGCATTCAGTGCTCAGCTTCCCAGTCACAGTTTGGATTAGTTTATTTTACCACTCTTTCAAATAATTACACAAAGCTCTTAAGAACTATCCCAAATATTAATGTTTGTTTGGGTTTATTTGATGTATTTATGAATTTAATGTTATGAATTCTAGGTCATGTAGTTCATTTACAATTCTCTTACATTTCTGTGCATACACATCTGTGCACTTTATAGCGAGAGAGAAAAAGGGTAGGTGGACCTCTTTCATTTTATTGTTCTCTTCTTAAGTAAGGTCCCACTGTAGAATTTTTCAAATGTCTATGTGTTCTATGTATGTCTATGGATTCTCCAACAAAACACACCAATTCTGCAGATCTCATGTATGGAAACTTTACACTCAACTTAATCAGTATCTAGATGGCATCAGCTTACCTAATTCACACTGCTCGCCATTGAAACCTGGCAAACATGTACAGATGTAAAATGAACCACGCGGATAGCAGGTACCACCGTTAAGGCAGGGATTGCTTTTGCATGGATCTTGGCCTGTTAAACAAGTAGAAAAAGAAAATTGACTCTGTAATTTCAAGGAACTTGTGTCTTTTTGATTTTTTGGAAGAAGAAATCTTTCATTTCTGCATTGATGTTGCAGGCTTTACTGTAGTTACAGAAACTCTATTAACATAGTAGACTACTGAGAGAATAAGATAGTTTTGTAAAATAGTAAAGCTTATTTTCAGGCATCATTATTTTCAACTTTAACAACATGGCATTTACTCTGAACCAGTATAAATAATTTTCAGAATTACATTTTTTCATAGCAATTTGTACTATATTTGGCAGTCATGATATTCTATTGAGGATTTAGTTTGCATGACATGACAATTAATTATAGCTGAAAACAGTTACACATATGCAAAATGAATGGAAAATGCTTTTTTTTTTTGAACAGGGTTAGTTAATGTAGAATGATTGGGTACACAGAACATACTGGCTGGCTGCTGTTGTTTCACTTCATTATATTTCATCAATCAATGCCCACAAAGTCTTATTTCTCTGAAAGGATGTTTTCACACATGCATATTTCCCACCCGCCTTTCTTAAAAACACATTTCAAGAATACAAATAAAGGTACTGAATACATTCGTAACGGAACTAAACATTAAGATAAAAGCTTACCTGCTGTGAAATCCTCAGTTGTTACGGGACTTAGCATTTAAATAGCTTTTCCTTGCAGAGCTTTATGTCTTCGAGTGATGTTTATTTCAACTGAGTTTAGATACCTAGGTATTTTCATTTGATTTAATGTCTAGGAGCAATCACTCACACAAACAAGTACGCACTAGATAGCCATTTCTAAGTATTAGCTTCTCAGAGTTAGAGGAAAATCATGAAGACAGTCCTTCTGGGATACAAGAAGAAAGCCCTGGCTTTGAAAACTTACAAAATGGGTAAGAGAGTTCTGTAACCTAAGCTAATTCAGAGGCATGAGAAAGTTTAGATTTTTGGTTACATTTTTCCAAAACGATCTGACTATGGATTATGAAATAAAAGATAAGTAACATCTATTTTATCCTTGCAAGTTAGACACTCAAAGAAGCCTTCTTAAAGTACCAAGTTCCCTATCTAGTCACTGAAAAGCAGAAGGTTCAGTTGAAAGCCTCCAGAAGAAAATCCCATCTACATAATTTTGGGACTGTAATTAAGCGAGCAGGATCTAGCATTGGAGGTTCTGAAAAGAATCTGATCATATCCATAAAATAGAGTGCTTGTTTTAGGACTGCTTCACTGAAAGTCCCAAATGTAGGGCTATGTTAAGCACCTAATGATGTTTATTGTGCGTTTACTGTCTGTTTGTCTTCCTATGGACTGGATATTTTCCCAGTAAACATTTTCAAATCAACAGCTACCTGGACTATTTGAGGAGAAATAATAGAAAACCCTATAAAATTAAGCCAATTCAGTTCTTTCCTCAGCTATATCTAGACAAAATAAGATTTGAAGCAATGCTACTCATACTGACTCTACCTGCATCATCTATGTATTTGGTGAAATGGTGCCTAATAACCATTACGTAAAACAAAATACTGTGGCAAATGACATCTAACAAAAAGATCTATAATTTAAGAGACAGACACTGTATCAACCAGTTAAATCTACAGACAGGCTGAAAACGTGAAGTCTCGATTTTCTCTTGTCTGGAAAGTTATCTTGTAGGTTAAGAGAAGGTAATTTTTATAGAAAATTCTGATCCTAAAATGTGCACTAGATCTGCTCTCTAAGTCAACTGCAGGATGTTATAAAATAACTCTACCTATAATCCAATTGTATAAGTACTATCATCATGCCAACACAGAAAAGCTATCAGACAAAATTATCTGTTGGAAATTGGAAAATTAAATAATTACAGCTGAATTCTCTACCACAATCAATATTACCTTCCTGTCTTTTAGAACTGGCTGGTCACCTCAAGTCTGATCCAGAGCTCCATGATGCAAACACTCAGGAAAAGTCACTGAGCTTGAGTTTTGGTACCCCCATTCTCCTTCACTTTGTAGGGAGTACAATCATGCTGATTTCAAAGCTTGAGGCTCACGAGTCCTGTTGCTGTTTCACATGGCGCTCTGATTGTCATACCTCTTATCAGAGTTAAGACACACATTTACAAGTATCACAACAAACACATACGACAGCGATCATATTTGGAAGTTACCTGGAATTTGCACTGCTGTGCCTTCAACTGAACCCACACTGGTGCCAATCAGGAAATCTGATCCATTAGTGACTTCCGGAAGGGCAAATGATGAAGTTACATGTTCAATAGCACTTGGCTCCTCAGAGCTTATCGTTGACTGCTCATTTTGATACGGACTGTTTCCAGGGGCAGTGCTGTTTGTTGCAATGTTAGAAGAAATTGTTGTGATCTCCTCTCTACCAAGCAAAGCTGATTGGGTTTCTGTGCTTCTATCCAAAGGTTGTGAAGATGAAGCTAGCATTGTAACTGCTTCCTGGTAAGGTTTAAATACTTCACTTTCAATACTATTGGGTGAATCTGAAACAGGTGTGGAAAAAAGCCATGGGATTTCTCTCTCAGTACTCCTGTCATCTTCTTGACGGGGGTTGTTCACTCTTCCTGAGGAAGCTTCAAATTTTATTGTGCTAACTTTTGGAACATCTGTGCTCACTCTTTCTCCAAAATTCAGAAAAGCAGTGGGCAAGACATGTATTGATGGAGAATCTCCAGAAATGGTAGCTTCTTCCTCAACAGCAAAATCAGTTACAGAGGTTTCTGTCTCCTCTGTCCTATCTGTTACAAGCCTATTAAAGTGAGGAGTACTTTCAGTAGTTGTGCTTTCTGAAACAGGCTTGGGAGAAAACTCCAGCAGAGAAGACTCTGTTCTGTCGAGAAGGTCTGTAGTAGGTGGTTTATATGTTGCTGCAATATCAGAACTAACCTCTTTGAAGGTTCCTTCCGATGAATGATAGGACTGATCTGAATCCTTTGATGATGATGTACTTGGAATGATTACCTCAGGATACACAGATACTCCATTAACTAGCTGAACAGTTACTGAGGATTTAGGAGTTTGAGGTACAGAATAAAAGCTCACTGAATCTGTTTCTTCATACTCTGCTGATGCCAATTTTGTGCTTGTGTATACTGTTGGGTACTTTTCTTCATTCCTGTTAGATGATACAGTTGTCAGTTGGGATGTACTCTGTGTGGTGACAATACTTGAATCAAGCATGTCAGTTGTCAAAGCCTTTTCTGTCTCAGTAATTAAAACTGGTGTAAGAGAAGGAACCACAGGCTGCTTATCACCCAAGTCTTCTTGGCCCATTCCAGAAAAGCCAGAGACAGAGATTGTTTCACTTTGATCTGCTATTACTCGGTTGTTTGCTGAAGTATTCAGCTCATAGGTGTCTTCTGTTGTGCTTGTTACATGTTTAGACTCATGAGGCACATGAGGGCTTGCCAGTGATGGTGCTGTAGGAAGGAAAATGCCCAGTTCAGAGAGTTTGGTAGTGATGAGAGTTTCTGTTGCAAAGTTCATGGCATTTCCTGAACCCAAATCCTTGTCATCTGATTTTGGTCTGTGCCCAGCTGCTACTGATTCACTACTTGGCTGACTGGAAGTAGTCAGAGAAAGGCTGTCACCAGATCCAAGTGCTTTCTCTTTGGTTATGGAAAATTTAGGTGTTGAATCATATTTCTCCCCTTCAGCTGTCATGCTACCATCACCACCGTATGTTGATTGTATGACAGGATTTGGCATTGTCTGCACACTTATTATATCTTCAGGCATTGATTTTGAGTGATCCATGTCTATAATAGTTGTTTCTTCTGATGGGATTTGAAGTCGTTCTTCAATTAGTGTAATATCACCATAAACAGAAACATTCAATAAAACACTTCTTTTATCATCAATCATGGGAATAATTTTCTCATATATCCCAGTATCACTTGTTAATTCTTCTGATGTAGCTGTCCTTGGATGAACAGCAGATGGATTTGTCACAATCTCTTTTTCTTCTGTAAAAAGGGATGCTATTCCTGTGATCACAGTCTTTGATCCATCTATCGGTGCCTCTGTTGTCATAACTTCAGAATAAACTTCCCCAGAAACACTAGATGAAGCATTTAGTTCTACTTTTGACACAGGGGGTATTGACAAATGAGTAAACATATCAGGAGAAGATGAATCTAAAACACCAACCCAGCCAGATCCTTCTCCAGAGCTTTCAGGTAATACTCTGTCTGGCATTTTTGTTGTTGATGTTACAAACGATTCTTCTGTTTCAAGATTAGGAGTTCCACTCAGTATTACAGCAACAGGAGTTACGCCATCTTTAATCAGCAAATGTGAAGTTTCCTCCTGAGAAACAGCTTTAGAAGTAGCTGTTGTCCTATCTGTTTCATTTTCTCCTCTCCTATAGTTAGTTTCCTTATTGTTAGGTTCTTCAGTCGCAACAAAATAATGCGTCGTCTCTTTAACCTCTTTAGAGCTGAAGTTCTTGGAACTCTCTTCTGCTAAAGCTGGGGAACTGGTGATCACTGAGCTGGGGAACTGGTCTTCTGTTTCTGACAGCAGCTCAGTTACAGCACTTGTAACTTCTTCATTAACTTCAGCACCTGACTCGGTGCTTCCTCTTTCAAAGTCTTGTGTCTTGTCAGTTGAAACTTTGGGTCCCATATTTGCAGGATGAGAAGTTTGAGGACTTGAAGTACTCATGATTTCTTTGACAGCCAATGGCACCACAGAAGGAATAACAGCAAGGTCGTCTCCCGATCCTTGACCTGAAAATAATGGATCACTGAGGAGCTCATTATTTGTTAGCTTTTCTCCTTTAGGTGTCAGGAGTG